TCCCTACAATCTTACCAAGTGGACGGCTAGATGTTAACAGGCGTACACTGGGCCACGTTTTGACCATGATGTTCGTCAAGCACAACCATTTAATCAATGGTTCGGCATCATGCAACAGTAAATTAAGCAATGAAATATACATCTTCAACCAGGATCAAATAACGACAGCTTTAAAAAGAAGACCGAAATACACAAAGTGTGGTTTACAGGAGGCCTGAATAAAGGTTAAAATACAAGACAGAAATAACAAACGAATATCTGACAATATTGGACAAAAGATGTTGTGAAGGAATTCTCAGGGTTTTCATACTGTTACAATCAGTGATTAACTTTATTAAACACTGGAAATATTCAATATTACCACTGAATCCGCACTAGACACTACTATTCCCCATGAAATGGCTTTTAAGACAACAGCTTCTAATATCAACCAAAAAATCAGGACTTAGCTACAAAAACCCGTAGGGATGTATTATATATCAAAATTCTTTAGCACCCTTCACCAATTGTATTCTGTATTTGAGCAACGCACTGCGCTCACTAGAGCGTTTAAATCCCAAAATCCACGTCGTCTCCTTGAAAGGCACATAAGAAAGAGTGTGGATCAAAACATTTACTCTATACTGTTCGATGGTGTGACGTATTATAACCAAATTGTTAATGTGAACTACTTGGTTAATAGTTTTCCCACAATAGGAATAATCTCATACCCCAGATTGCGATGTCAAGTGCATCAGCACAAATAATCTGAATACCACTAACTTTGATCTTGGAAATATACACACCGCCACCAGAACGTTGTAGCCAAATGCAAGTTTTGGTGCAGATGACACCTCACCTATCTTTACAAAATGGCAGGACCGAACATAAGAATACTATTACTCAAGGTATCTACACTATCCTCAGAGACAGGGGCGTACCTCGAAATCAGGAAGGTAACGTGTGTTATCCCCAAACACAAATCAGGACCAAAAAACATAATTCAGAACTACAGACCTATAAATATCAACCCAGTTATATTATGCACAATGGAAAAATTGATACAAGATCGGTTATCTGATCATCTATTTTAGGAACGTCTAATCGACTCGTTGCAACACGGCTTCACTGGAATAAGGCCTTTGATAAGGTACTTCATAATCTCCTAATCAACAGACTTCAGTCGGTCGGAATTACTAACTTTCTATTGCGATGAATGAAATCTGTCACAGACAGACACTCAATGACTAAAATAAACTTCACGGAGTCTACACCGTGACCAGAAACCAGGGGTATATTCTGGGTTAGCGTCCCCAGCCTACTGCTTTTTACAACCCACATCATCAATATATTCAGTTGCTTCAACAATGGAGAGACCTGGAATTACGTTTGTAATATACAAAGTATTACTCAAACAATTCAGTATGAAATCAGCAAAATCGATAACTGGTACAAACGCTAAAGCTCAGAATTGAAAACACAGGGGGTGTGGCTAATTATGTATTGAAGATGTCTATTGAAATATAACAATGAACACACCGCCCAGAGCCGCTTAACTAACTGACCTTGGAGTTAATTACTAGCACAGTCTAGATACTCCAAAACATATCTTCACGAAAGCATCTTAAACGCGAAAATTGCTAGGCTTCATTCTTGTTAACCTCTTTAAAAATGAGTCTAGCATCATTCTTTACAAGATATCTGTAAGACCTAACACTGTGTATTGTTCGCCCTTATTTTCCGACTTGCGTCAATCCGATATACTGAACGTCAAAGGAATACAACGGAATTTCGCTCGCAAAAGGTTTAAAATTGACTCACTCACTGACCATCAGCCTAGACGTCATACCCTGTCGGTATTCCTTACCATGGAAATAATTGACTCCCTTCTTGTTTATTTACTTTATGAATAGTTATAGGAAGCAACAACATGATTCAGAATATCTAACGCTCTATGAAGTATGAGTTATTAAGTAGAAAACGTTTCTGCCTAATGTATATTCATGTCATAACTGCTTGATTTACGCGTTGTATTGACCAAAGCTCTTGGTTCAGTGTTCGCCACAGATCTATGAAATTACGTCAACTTCAATGCTGGGAGCAAACTTTTTGACAGACCGACCATGTTAGTCATAGTATAGGTGCTGTTTCGTGTTCCTTTGATTATATAACCGTTACTATATAAGTGTCGCCCTAATCTCCGTCATTTGCTTTTCATTCGTTATAAGATTATTCTTAATCGTCTCGAGTAATGGGTTGTGTTAATTCGTTAATATGCGTAAGTGTTCATCTTCAGGGTAAAAAACATCAACGTGCTTCATAATCACTGAATGATTCATGGTGAAAATCTATTCTGATTAGCTTAGTCGTAATCAGGCGTGCAACTGCCGAAACTGATCAAGTTAAGGTCTGGTCAGAAAGATAAGTCCTAAAAGAGCATACACCAAGGGACAACTAGCTGGAGTTTGATCAGTGACGTCACGGAGTCTCAAGAATCTAGACAAGTTAAAATAAAGCTTCAAAAGTTGACAAAACAGACACCACAGGTATGAGCTTAGTACGCACCATGAATCAGACGTTCAACATGGAGCTGAGTCCCAGGCTGCGACTGACAAACAGGTTGGAGAGGCCAAAGATGAACTTCGCGAAGGAAAATGGCTGAGAATCCTGCCTGTGGATCCGTAGAACGTAAGCTAGACTGGGGTAGAACGGTTGGCAGACCAGTCTTGGTACATGGGATTATGATAGCACCTTGTTTATTATGATGATAAAGATTACCTGAACCTCTGTTACTAACGTTCCTGAACAACAACCAGGAAAACTCAACGTGTTGAGAATGCTAAGATGATATTAGGATGTGAAATTATGACCAGCTACTAAATATTTGTGAATATTTTGTAGCTTTCATTCAGTTGATGGATCAAGACAAGGTTTAATTTAATGCGCTAGATCCAGAGAGGTTCTAACTTTGGTTGTTGACATATTTGACAGTTAGTCGCTGAGTGATGCATGGGAGCATTGTAAGCTAAGTAGCGCTAATATTGCAAGCAATCGTCTGGTAGACAAGTTATGGAAACAGATAAGGTGACGTGTAGGATACTGATTGAGAATGACCAAACTATGGTTATCCGTCGTGCCGGAAGAAGGCAGGGTAAGTATGATACGTCAATAATAACCAGACTACATAAAGAAGCAAAATATTTGACACATGGCGAAGCAATCATAGGATAGTCTCTAGGCCAGTGGTTGACATATCCTGCTATTTTCAGCCTTCTGTTTATTTTCTGTGGTTATGAATCACAGATATTTATACAATACGTCCCATGGTGGTTATAAATTCAATGATGTAACTGATAGGTTGAATACAGACAATAACAGATGTCAGATGATTTCTGTAACTTGTATCACCGGGTACTCCAACAATGGAGTTGCACGATACGTGATTTATTATGACATTTCTAAGTCACGCTGCCTACAATAAAATTCTATCAGTTATGCAGAATAAACAGGAATATTCTGTCGCTTATCATAATAATACCAGTGATATGGCTTTATCCTATAGCTCCACTAAAGCACAATGAAACTAACCAAGCAAATTCGAATGTGACCGGGTCAAAGGGATGAATTAACGTGATTACATCAACATTTGGTACGACTAAAATCATCAGTAGCACAAGTCAAATCAACGAGAAGGAGGGCTTGGTGGTCCTTTTTATCAAGGAGTGTCCATAGAGGGCATGTCAATATTGTTGAACCTGGTTTGATTCCATTAACTTACGTTTGCTCAGCTTTCATCATATCAACAATGTCTGTCTGGTGAAAACAATCTACAGCAGGTTCCTTTGTTTTTAATCAAACAGATTAAATGCTATGGACGAACAAGATAGGATGCAGAATAAAAGAAACGACAGAATACACACTGTTTTTGAGGAATGAATGAGCATTTACAACAATTAGTCCCTTTGATAAATTTCGATAATGCAATGAGATGACAAAGTTTATCAGAATTATATGATATATTTGCGCAATACATTTCGAACAACCTGGTCACACATATACTTGTTATGAACATTTATATGTGAAAATTAAAGGTCAATTAGACAGGTTAAGGGTAAGTCATAACAACGGAAAAATAATAAAGTACACAAAAACAAATGTGATTACCACTGTGGATGATAAATCAGTATTACCAGGGTATGTTAAGTATATGGACAGACTGTTTTTGAACACATAAAGGTTTTAATTGAAGCATTGGTAATACGGAAATTGAAACCCTCTTTGTGTGTTCAAAAACAATCTGTCCATATACTTAACATACCCTGGTAATACTGATTTATCATCCACAGTGGTAATCACATTTGTTTTTGTGTACTTTATTATTTTTCCGTTGTTATGACTTACCCTTAACCTGTCTAATTGACCTTTTAATTTTCACATATAAATGTTCATAACAAGTATATGTGTGACCAGGTTGTTCGAAATGTATTGCGCAAATATATCATATAATTCTGATAAACTTCGTCTTCTCATTGCATTATCGAACATTTACAAGCCCCCTATCGGTCCTACCCTCTCAAAACGCCTCCATATAATTTAACTAGGAATCTCCCCAGAAGCTACCTGAGGTCGCATATAGATTTTTCGAAAAATCTACACGTTCTACTCTTTATTAGCATATGCTCCGCCACCTGAAACAGCAAGACAATATCCATAAAATTCAGTAAATATACTCTTATCTCTGAAGATGCCTATATGTTTATGCATTTATTCTGAGTTGGAATACATTAAATTTATAACAAGAAGTGTCAAACCATTCGGAATTTAATCCTCTCAAACAACCCGACTCTGATCGACCTTTTTAGAAGCATATTTCACGATGAAACAACACCTAATCTTGTTAGTTTAAGTTAGTACCTCAGCAATTCACTGTTTCGTGACCAGCTTATGGTGTGTTCTTTGATGGGGATAGTCAAGGCCGAATATAATGAAGTGTGGTTAACTGCTCCTTATTCATAATTGCGATGTCACATCAAACCATTCTTGTCGTTTTTCAAGACAGTCAACTAAGAAATCGAATACTTCACAAAACATTAATCTTCAAAACATTTCGAAAGTTAGTGAACTTTATATTTGAACTAATACAACTCTAGCTACTTGACTGTTGGTACTTCTGATTTTGTTTAGCAGCAGTTCGTTTGTTCGTATAATTGAAGTTCACCTGACTGTTGGCGCCAAACTGGGTACGTCCGTTCTCCTGTCATCTTGTTTTCTGCACAGGTTATTTAGTAATATTTGTCATCAAAGCATTTGTATAGTGGTTGAGTTTCTTCTGCAGCATTTTATTCACTTCCGATGCTCTTACATATTCGATATAAGCCTGCTTACTATGAAGTGTCAACTCTTAGATTGTGACATCGTTGTACTCATTCCATTGTGACACGCCCTGATCAGGTTTTCTAGCCTTCAAGTCCAAACTACTTAGACTTCTAAAGCTTCTACTTATCATGTGGTTTTTGACTAGCTGAGGTGCGAATTGAGTTTTCTGAAATTCAATAAGTAATACTGGATTCAAAGTTGCTCTGTTCAAACTTCCCATGTAAGCGGTTGACACATCCAAATAATAGCGTTGGAAATGTCCGCAACGTTTTTGTGATATACGTCGTAGTCAAGTCTTGCTTTACACAAATTACCCGGGAGGTTTGTAAAGCCACGTATTGCTAGTAATCCTTAAAATGAGTAGTTTTGCCTTAATTTCTAAGCTTAACTAAAACCACAGAAGAAGCATCTTATTTTTCACATATAACCTTTGGTCTAAATAACCCTGAGAACGTGTTTATATAGCCACAGTCACTGGGTACGATAATTACTTCCCAAATTTGACTTATGATTCTCTACTTTCGTTCCCATTAGGTAAAAATGCCCCCTTTCACTACGTCTTCGTTACCACTTAATCCTAGAGTTGTTATGCTTACGCTATTTATCTGAAAGCTTAGTTCAACACATGCATGCCACTATTCTGATTCATCTAGCTACATGGGGTTGCTTTTGTCCCGCCGAAATGAGCTTGTTTTCTCCATACTGTCTGAATCTACATTGAAGCATACACACCATAAGTTACCTGAGTTCGAGCAAAGTTCATGATCTAGTCACTTTATTTAGTTTACTAAATGTAAATGAACAGAAACGGTCTCGAGATGCTTAAAATAATTCGGTTCTGTAGCTTGCTATAGGATGTAGAGTTGGTTCAATTTCGGGAGCAATGGGTGATCCAAAAACTAGTAACTTAAACTAAATCAAAGGGAAAAATGAACAACTAGAAATATTGGCTCTATAAGAGATGAGAATTTTCAGCTCTAACCAGACATACTTGTATAAATTGGATATATATTCACTCCTATATTGTGAAAATGCCCAACTCTCTTCCAAATAGAGCGCGGCTTTTTAATGATCATGATACAATTTCCAGTCAGTAGGTCACAAGCTTGAATCCCACTTCATTTTGAGTATTTGGTAGTATACTACACCTCACAGAATATGGCTAAATTGAGTAAGTAAATCTGCATCGAACATCGTACGGGTAATATGTCACGACTGATGGCTTTACAGAAATCATCTGGATTCAGTAACTACTTAACTGAACTATTTTGTTTCCCAGTATGAATATATGGTAAATCTTGGTCATCATTTTTCATAGTGATGACTGGTGTTCTGAATAATGTATCTCACGTTGGCAACGGAACTTCTAATGCTTCTATCAAAGCAGAAGTAGAAGACGACATCCCTTTATCTGAAAAGCTAAAGAGAAGTAGAATGCATTCGTCCTCTAGTGATGACGATGATATTCCTCTGTCTGCCAAGTAAGACATATTTGCTAGCTATCTACTTCGTCTCAGATTAGCCCAGATGTCCAAAAAGCCAAAATTGGAACCTCCAGTTTCTCCACAGGTAACTGATTCATTTTTATAATACAGTCATAGCCTCGTAATAAAAGCCAAGGTGATCAAAGAAAAGAACATTCGAAGTCTTCAAATGAAAAGATTAAAAAAGAAAATACACTTAGTTCTCCTAGCAAAGTTAGAAAGCATGAAAAACCTGAAGAGGAAGTTTGGAGGTGGTGGGAAGAGCAAAAGAAAGATGACGGTGTCAAGTGGAAATTCTTAGAACATAAAGGTCCACTTTTCGCCCCTCCTTATGAACGCTTGCCTAGCTCTGTTCATTTTCACTATGATTCCAAACCTATCAAGTTATCGGATCATGCAGAAGAAGTTGCAGGGTTTTACGCACGTATGTTGGATCATGATTATACCACAAAGGAAGTGTTCAACCACAACTTCTTCCGTGACTGGGTGAAAGTAAGTAATTTGTGTTTCATATCGGATTCCGTTAAATAGACAATGAATGAAGAAGAACGTCGAACCATTAAATCCCTTAGCAAATGCGATTTTCGCGAAATGCATCAATATTTTCTTAAGTTAAGTGAAGAAAGAAAAAACCGAACTAAGGAGGAAAAACAGAAGATAAAGGAAGAAAACTTACAAATTCAAAATGAATATGGCTACTGCATATTGGACGGACACAAGCAAAGAATCGGGAATTTCCGTATTGAACCTCCAGGCCTATTTCGAGGCCGTGGCAACCATCCTAAAATGGGCATGTAAAAAAGCGCATTATGCCTGAAGATGTCATCATTAACTGCTCAAAAGACTCAAAAGTTCCTGCTCCTCCAAAAGGTCATAAGTGGAAAGAAGTAAGACATGACAACAGTGTTACTTGGCTGGCATGCTGGACTGAAAATATCCAAAATAGCTTCAAATACATAATGCTGAATCCATCCTCTCGTCTTAAGGTTGGTTATGCATCGAGATTAACAATTATTTTCCAGGGTGAAAAAGATTGGAAAAAGTACGAGACTGCTCGTTGCCTACACAAGGTAATCGACAAAATTAGAGCAGACTACCGAGCTGATTTCAAACACAAAGAAATGCGGATACGCCAGCGGGCTGTTGCACTATATTTTATCGATAAGGTAGATAACCCCTAACTTTTAAATTACTTTTATGCAATTATAAAAACATGAGTTTTCTGCAAATGTTTACCGTACGGATGGGATGTGACAGCTAATAACGAGCTAGTGTGATGATCACCAATACGACACATCATTAAATGCATACTCAAAACCTTGTTATCTTTCTTTTTGTTTAGTTTCTACTTATTACAGAGCTATGTTACTGGTAAATGCCTTATTAGGCGTTCATTAAAAAGCCTTATATATACAATGGCTACATTGATGTTTTGAGTAAGGGTTCATATCGCTCTTTGAAATATTCTCCATTCTTTAATAGCACAAACACCTCTCATAACAACAGTCAGGTAAAATACAGGGCTTAGATTTTCGAATTTGAAAATACAAAATAAATGACTAAGTACCTCTTTTGGAGTGACAACCTAATCATTAGTAAAGGAAACAGTTGTAAGTCTTGATATTATAATGGTTACTGCATCGTCCACGACTGTTATAACTGATGCTCCTGATGATCATATACAGCTACTTATGATTCTCGTCATTTTTCCACTTCCGATTGTAGTTGGCTCTTCGTGCTGGGAATGAAAAGGACGAGGATGAAGCTGATACTGTTGGTTGCTGTTCACTTCGCTACGAACACATCAAACTCCATGAAGAGTTGAACGGACAACCTTATGTTGTTGAATTCGATTTTTTAGGTAAAGATTCTATTCGCTATCAAAATGCTGTATCCGTTCCCAAACGCGTCTTCAAGAATGTCAAACTATTTCTGAAGAACAAAAAAGAAAATGACGATTTATTTGATCGACTTAATGTAGGTCCTTCAAGATTTTAGTATTATATACAAAACATTTAGACGAGTGTCCTGAATCAGTATTTACGAGAACTTATGGATGGTTTAACTGCCAAAGTATTTCGTACGTACAATGCAAGTCGAACTCTGGAAGAGCAGTTGGAACGGCTTACCAATCCTGATGATCCTCCTCATGCTAAACTTCTGGCATATAATCGAGCAAATCGAGCAGTTGCTGTTCTCTGTAACCATCAGCGTTCAGTTCCGAAATCTTTTGCAAAATCAATGGAGAATTTACAGAAAAAAGTATGTGAAATTTGTGCAAGTTATTTATAAATTTTATAACTAGCCTGTCATTGCTAAAAACCTTGTCTGTGTGGTTACTATCTTTTCAGTATTCGAATTACACTGACTTTATAAGTGTTTACAACCTTAATTTTGAACCTATAACATTAGCCTTTCCCTTACCTAGATTTGACCAGCATCAAAAATGAAAAGTTAATCCAGTTAGTTCACATTAAGTAATTATAAAATGTCTGTTCAACAGCCTTTTTTAATGCGCTCTAATAGTGGTGCTTATGGTATGCTTCCTACTTAGTGAAGTGTAAGCTAAACTAATCACTTGTGTTTTTTCTTTGGACCACCAGAGGGATGTTGACATTTAATTGAGTACCATATTTACAAATCCCAACACTAATCCTATAATTTCCGATACCAGATACAAACTTTCCAAGAAATTGAAGTGTCCAAAAGAAGATGCATATTTCTAGCGACAGTATCCCGTAGCCAAAGTTGAATTTGAATGAAAAATATATCAGACAGTAGTCGGTCTAAGTTATTAATTGACTACGCACCTGTCATTTTAGTTCGACTCAAAATACCTCTTTATCGTTTATTTTATTTTTCCACATTCATTCTCTTATTTTCCTGAAGTTTATTTTTAAAAATATAATGCAATTTTCTGGTAAATCTCAATTTATTGTTTGCCAAAATATTTACATTGTCTCGTACAAACATGAGTGGCCTATGAAAGATCAAATTTATTAGTTAGTGCCTTGCTTACATTCTCGGGATGCTGGAGTTAAATATTTGTAAGCGAAATCCCTTTGCCTTGTTTTTAGACGATTGCCATCAAGGTTTATCTTCACTGTTCGTCGAAAGAGACAAATGTCACCCAGTTTGCCCTGCCTTCCTTTATACAACAAATAGATAAAATGTTTCTCATCTACTGGTGATATTCATTTCATATTGCTATTACCGTTTAGCTTTGTCAATTTAACACAGTTTAATGTTGCATCCAGTAAATATGCCCTACATTTTTATGGGTTAAGGGAAGTATGACACCACTTAAATGCTCATGTTCTTAAAGATTGGCAAAGTATTACCTTGTACAGAATAATTTTATGTGAAGGGTAACTGGAAAAGATGTCTGGTGATGTGTTCAGTTAAAAGCATACATGTTGTTCACCGTACCAACAGAAATAGGTGTTAGGGCCTGATAAACGAATTCCTAAGTGTCTTCTGTTTGCTTTTTTATCTATTCTTTATTGGTTAGTAAGGTTTTTTTCATTTGACAATGCGATCACTAGCTAAATAGGGATTTTCGAACAGTCTATAGTTTGTGGTGAACGTTAGATAGCACTACAATCATTACTACATAAGCATCGCTTTATTATTAGTGTTTTTTTCATTGTAATAGATCAGAAGAATAAAATCTTGTTTACTGTATATTTCGTTTCGATCCTTTTCAAAATTTATATGTATCTAAATCTGTGTTTGCACTGATTTCATATTTTGAAGGTTCAAATACCGTACAATTCCTCATCTTATATTGCAGATCGATGCAAAACGTGAGCAAATTTCGGAAATAACTTCTGAAGCTAAACAAATAAAAGCAGATTACAAAAATCACAAACAAGCATCCAAGAAGGTCGCTTATGAAAAGCTGAAGAAACGCTTAGCATCTGCTAAAGAGGCTTTATCAAAATTGCAGCTTCAAGCAACTGATCGAGATGAAAATAAAGAGATCGCTCTCAGTACAAGTAAACTGAACTACCTCGATCCTCGGATTTCAGTTGCTTGGTAAGATGTGTTGTATTGGTCTAGCAGAATATCATTCATTCAAAAGATCATATTCTTTATGGCTATATGTATATATAAGCCTCTTCACAATTTTCAGCTTCGTTTGACGTCTGGAAAATGACGCTAGTGGTCATTCAAAGCACCCACCAGGAAATTGTTTTTGGTGAATCGTTCGCAAATCCACCACACTAATGTTCAAATTAAAGCTCAAGCTTTCATTTGTGTTCATCATATTTTTAAATGTTTGCTTAGGGTCATTAACTATTTTCTCGGTGTGAGATGTTCCTCCAGAATTTCGACACCATTTAGAGTATTTAGAAATATTGACATTTCGGAACAGACTTCTCATCCTACTTCAATTCAATACATTCAGCATTCATTTCAGACTTTACCTATTAAACATTAACAAAGAAATAAGTACACGAGCTTAAAACATTCCACATAATTTAAATATCTAGTGGATTTCATTTATGGAATAGGTTGGAGAATGTCAAACAAGTTTTCTGTATTCTCGTTAACAATGGACTGTCCAGGAGCTGATTCTAGAAAACAGTGTAAAACAGTAGATCTTAAACTCAGAACTATTTAATTCTTATCTGTGTGATCAGTCGTAATTGTTTCGCCTCATGTATTTTCGCTTAGACTTCTTATCATATCTACTCATGTGGTGAGTTGATACTTTCGTGGCACTATATTTTTAAAATACGATAGCATCAGCTATTGTTATAGGTTCACTAGAAAACACAACTAATAATTTCGTCATGCTATATGTAAAAATGTCCAGCGCTGAACAGCCTAAGGTCACATGTTTTTTTATTCTCTCATGGCTAATAAGAACATCAATAATACAACTCGTTTGGCCTACCATTTGAAAAAATAGGCGATCGTATAATAAGTGAATAATTCCTAAATTCCAGGCTTGTTCTCCAAGCGGGAGATGTTTATTTTTTTGAATATAAAGTTAGACCATTATTGCTATAGCCTGTTTATACAAATATCACCTTAACTGTAGACCATAAAGGAAATACATTGTGTTGTATTATTACAACCAATTATCCCAATTTCATTTTTCTCGGTTCCAATCAGCTCCACATGTGTTGATCTTTGTTTTTGCTAGTTATCTATTTTCAAGTCGCAATTATTTTGTATTCCTTTTAAAAAGGTGTAAAAAGTATAACGTTCCTATTGAGAAAATTTTTAACAGAACTCAAAGAGAAAAATTCCAATGGGCAATAGATATGGCTACATGTGACTACAAGTTTTTAGACGTTGATTCAGATAGAAGTACAAACAAACTCAAAGCTGAGGAAAGTGATGATGAAGATATGATTGACGACGAAGACTGAGCAAGAAAAGAAAATACTTCCATACAATGTTTCCAACATTAGTCTATTTCATAATCTTAATTGTATGATTATGTTAAAGTTGTTAACTGGTTCTACTCTAATATGAGTAATCTCCACGTGTATTTTTGTCAGGTCACAAAACTCCAATGTAATTTTATCCTGAAGCGTTTACGGCACATTTGTGTCCTCTTATGTTTTTTGTACTAAAGTTTCTCTTCTAAACTCTCATCAAATATACTGGAAACCTTTTCAAACAAATCCAGACGATTTCGCTTTCTTGATAACCATGTAGGAATTTTGCAATGTTATACTTAGTATATTATGATGTTATAGTGGCAACATATACCACTAATTAATAATAAATATTCGCAGCAATAGCTATCTTTCACCATTCTTTGTGAATGAATATAATGTATTTTCACGAAAAATGAGTTTATCATGCCTTCAAATCTTGAATGAAATACCTTTTACGACTCTGAAGGTAGTTGTTTCACTTCAGGATTTCTATTACTTTCCCGTTTTTCTTGTATTAGCTTTATCATGCATTCACTTATTGTATGGGATCTATGTACGTATAATTTAGTGTGAAGCCACATTATCTTTACTCGATCATTTGTGTTTTTATGTATTTACTTATTACTGATTTTTCATGATAGTTCATTTACGGAAACCTTGGTGTTATTACAGTAATGAATTTTGTTGTATTCATTTTGAATATACTGTTCATGTGATAACCTGTTAACCATTCTTTTTCCCTGGATTGTTTAGAGTAGCTTCGTATGGGTCCTTAACATATTAACTATAGTTACGTACATATTAGGTACCTCAATAATCATCTGTGAATTCTAGGTCAATAAGTGAACCTCTTGGAAAGGGATCGATTCCCGAAAATTCAGACGACGAGAACGTTATTTCCGGCAGTAGGTCTTTGACGAAATTAAACAAAAACAGGTAGTGGACAGCCTTGACGTACACCACTTGAGGTTGCCAAATTAGATCACAGTTCTCCATAAGTTCTTACTCGACTAGTGGTGTTCGAGTAAAGAGCCTTCGCAAGATTTATGTACTTGTGAGGTACATCTTTCAATGACAAACATTGCCACAGAACCTCTCGGTCTGCAGAGTGAAATGTTGCTTTTGAGTCAAGGAAAACTATCATTGTCGGACGCCAATAAGCATGCATGTGTTCTAGTATCTGACGAATGGTGAATATGTGGTCGGTACAGCCACGACCAGGTCTGAAGCCAGCCTGGATTCCTCGTGTTTGCATTTCACGAATCTTTGTCAGGCGTCCGATAATTACTGAGGTTAGTATTTTAGATGCTACGTTAGCCAAACTAATGCCTCTTTGCTTACCACAGGATGATTTTAGCCTTTTCTTTATGTATTGGGACTCTCAGTGATTGCGACCAGTCAGATCGGATTACAGCCAATTCACAAATTTTAGCTAAAATATTAGTCAACCTAATCGCTAAGACTGGACCACCATACTTGAAGACCTTCGGAGCCAATCCATCTGGACCAGCTGCTCTTCTTCGTTTGTTTGGGAATGGTGGGTAGTTGTAGAGTAGCTCAAGGCCAGCTGAACTGCTCCTTAGAGTGTTCCAAACGTTTGGGCTGATAGCATATAAGAGTGTCCTCGTTTTCCGAGATAGTTTCATTTACACTTGACTCCTTAATTCTAGTTTCTTATTAGTCTGAAAAGCTGTCTGGTGTTACCTGCAGCTACTGTCTATTCCATCTCTTTTGCTTTCGTTGCCCACCACTACTCACGGTCGTTCCTTAGACTTTTGCTTACCCAAGATCTGATATTTTATCGCTCTTCGTGTTCAGAATCTGATGGGATGAGTTTACGAGAATCCATCAGTGCAATAGACCTTGAGGAAATCCATTGGTTCTTTGTAACCCTGTAGTTTAAATCACTAACAGATGTCGCTGCTGTTTCCATAGCTGCTTGTGTATCTTTCCAAGCAACATCTGGGTCAGCCTTGTTTTCAGAACTACCTATGTGTGACCTCAGTTGTTCCTGGAATATGCCTTTGGCCTTCTCATCGTTGAGTTCAACTCGAATGGGTCTCATTGGTATGACTTCTGCGTTTAGTGAGGCGCAAGCAAATACGTGCTCGTATTAGAGCTTGGTCAGAGTCTAAACATGTACTCCGAGACGATTGGGAGTCTTCTATTGAGCCTCTCCAACGATGACTAATGGCAATGTGGTCTATCTGAGTCCATCGTTAGTTTGGTGCAGGAGGTCGCCATTGTCCCGATAAGCATAATGAATGGTAACTTTTGGGATCCATTTATGGACCAATAATAAACGTATATTTTTATCGTATAATTGTTAAATAACTAAACTATGCATATTCACATTCTTCTTATCATAAGCTTTATTTTGACCTATGAACTATTATTATACGTCTTAACATTCTTGAATTATGCCCTGTCTATTAATCACTACCTCTCTCATTCACAGCCACTTTTGGCCAAATCTTATACAAATGTTATTTTCTATTTTATGGTACGTTGTGGTCTGTTTGTTTGGTATATAAATGATTCGTATCGCAGAGGCTGGGATTGATGTTCTGAACTTAACTGGCTGGGCTAGGCGGAAAACAGGACCAATAAGGACTCTAGACTGCTCGTACGTGTTTACGCGTCATTGGTCTGGTCGATAATTCACTGTTCTCTGGTTGGCAGTATCACCACGTTATACATTAACAGGGCGCGCAGGTTACAAGTTATAACAGCCATGCTAGACGATGTCCTTACTTATGCTTAAAACTAGTGCTTGCTAAAAATGAACGATTATCTGAGAACAGTTGCAACAGGTGGTCACCGTTATCTGTTCGTCGAGCCGGAATACTAAAGTCTTTCTTTTTAGTTTAAGCTACCTACCTGAGTATTAAAATCACCTGCTACAAGTACTATATCTGAACGTTTAGCTTTTTGAAGAAGTTCAGAAAGCTTTCTGTTAAAGTAATCTTTCACTTCATCCGGGCTGCAGTCAGTGGGAGCGTAGGCAGAAACGACAAAAAGGCAACGACGTGCGTCCCTATCCTTCCGAGTTCTTACGGAGCCGTTTAGCCGAACAGGACATAGGAGACTGTTAACGGGGATCTATTCTAACACCACTTGCTCTGCCGTCGTGCTCAGTGCCATGGCTACACTTGCCAGTTCACGAGAACTAGCCATCGGGTCGCCAGATAAACGGGGTGTATATTTCGTCGGTTCCCTGTGTTGGCGAGGTGAGATCAAGTGAATGACCACACTAGAATCCTGTATGCGTGTTTCGGAGACACAGCATACATCAATGGTACGAGATTCTAGGATTTTAGCCAAGGAGGCTTGCTGGACGATTTGACATAGTGTGCGTACGTTGAAGGCTTCAATGTGTATTTTGGAGCGAGGTTTCAGTAGACCTGAGACAGTGTTTCGCCTACTAGAATCGTTGGCCATGATGACACATGAGAAGGAAGCCAAAAGGGGAAGTTTAGAGTTGAAAGTCGAGGTAGGAGAAATAAAGTGGATTGGTGAGGCAAATCGATCATGAATACAGTGATCTTAGATGCTGTTAGAGGTATGGGGGCGGTTTTCACTTCCTGGTTGCCCATGCTGTGAAAGGGTTCTTCTAGAGGTACCTAAAAAGGAAATTGGGTTAGAGGTGGCCTTAGTGACCTGAGAGCGTGATCGCAGTGCCCAAGGGACAACTGCTTGAAGCCGGTCACATACGGTCTTTTATGAGTAGCTTTCGTGTTAGCTCCGTAATTGATGAGGCCTTACTATCGGGGACGGAAACCCGTGGGATAAGGTGGTGTGCATTTGTAGGGCCGGCCTTTTCTAACCCCACTCCTTGTGGGAAGGCAGCATCGCTGTTACGTTGGTTGTTTGAAGGAAATACCTTACAGCCGTCACACTGTACAGTCAGCAGTACGACTTCGCCCTCGAACTTTAGGTTTGCTGCTTTTAGTCTTATCACTCTTCAACTGACCTGTCTGGCATGGTAGGACCTTGAGGAACGATTGTTCCAGCCAGTATAGCTCGATTGGTTCATTAAGATAGGCAAACGACTAAAGCATCAGTGTTGTTTTCTTTAAGAAAATGTGTAAGTGTAACAAGAATTTTTTGTTTATAGTGGCTGCATACACAATACAGGAATAGATACAGAAATCAATAAGGAAACAGTATCTTGAAGTTATTGTTATGAATTACGATTTCATAGGTAATGCATAGTTTGATGACTGTCAAAATGAGCAATTAGGACGGTGATCAATAAATAATAGTAGTTTTTTCTAATAAAATAAAGTGCTTATACACGAACCATTTACAAAGGTATGATTCGATGTTATAAGTAATTGGGAGTTGTCAATTTCATGGTCACTATAATTACTTGTAATCTGACTTTGGCTTAATTCTTGCCCACTTTATATATGCACTCCCAGACTCAATCGGAGTCGAGAATTAATTGCTTAGGAAACGACTTCGATTAAGCGCGTTCATTAATTATCGTGGCTCTGGAGGAGATTTGAACGCTTACTTTAGCTGCATGCATCCAAAGAATCTCAGACTTAATCAAACAGACAGAAATTATACTGGTGACCAAAATGCTAAATTCATTGAATTTCTACGTTTCATGGGGTTTGTATTGTGTTTGTGCTGTTTGGTAGCCCTATATTCTGACGTTTGTCCATTTGAGGTCTTCGGATCAACAATTGTGTTTTCATGAGAGATTGTTGCTCGGTCACATTTCAAATAAATGAAAAAAATCGATCGGACACTCGTTCATGGTATACATTCCTGGGTATAGCAATTAATTGAATGTAAATTATGATTGAGTAAATTATCTTAAATTCAAATAAACCTGTCATCGTGTTGAACTCTCCATGTTATCACGTCTTTGATTGACGGCAAGTGTGTACAATACTCATTTTGTATATTTAGATTACTATTCCCTGTGAGACAAGTATATCTTGCGTTTCACCGACCAATTAATTCACCACTGT